GAGAGGGCCGTAAGGGCTGAGAGGGCCGTGAGGGCTGAGAGGGCCGTGAGGGCTGTGAGGGCTGAGAGAGCCGTGAGGGCCGTGAGGGCTGAGAGGGCCGTGAGGGCTGTGAGAGCTGTGAGGGCTGAGAGGGCCGTGAGGGCTGAGAGGGCCGTGAGGGCTGAGAGGGCTGTGAGGGCTGAGAGAGCCGTGAGGGCCGTGAGGGCTGAGAGGGCTGTGAGGGCCGTGAGGGCCGTGAGGGCCGTGAGGGCTGAGAGGGCTGAGAGGGCTGTGAGGGCTGAGAGGGCTGAGAGGGCCGTGAGGGCCGTGAGGGCTGAGAGGGCCGTGAGGGCCGTGAGGGCTGAGAGGGCCGTGAGGGCTGAGAGAGCCGTGAGGGCCGTGAGGGCTGAGAGGGCTGTGAGGGCCGTGAGGGCTGAGAGGGCCGTGAGGGCCGTGAGGGCTGTGAGAGCTGTGAGGGCTGAGAGGGCCGTGAGGGCTGAGAGGGCCGTGAGGGCTGAGAGGGCTGTGAGGGCTGAGAGGGCTGAGAGAGCCGTGAGGGCTGAGAGGGGCGTGAGGGCCGTGAGGGCTGAGAGGGCTGTGAGGGCTGAGAGAGCTGTGAGGGCTGTGAGGGCTGAGAGGGCTGTGAGGGCTGAGAGGGCTGAGAGGGCTGAGAGGGCCGTGAGGGCTGAGAGGGCTGAGAGGGCCGTGAGGGCTGAGAGGGCTGTGAGGGCTGAGAGGGCCGTGAGGGCTGAGAGGGCTGTGAGAGCTGTGAGGGCTGTGAGGGCCGTGAGGGCTGAGAGGGCTGTGAGGGCCGTGAGGGCTGAGAGGGCTGAGAGGGCCGTGAGGGCTGTGAGGGCTGTGAGGGCTGTGAGAGCTGAGAGGGCTGAGAGGGCCGTGAGGGCTGAGAGGGCTGAGAGAGCTGTGAGAGCTGAGAGGGCTGTGAGGGCTGTGAGGGCTGTGAGGGCTGTGAGGGCTGAGAGGGCTGAGAGAGCTGTGAGGGCTGTGAGGGCTGTGAGGGCTGTGAGGGCTGTGAGGGCTGTGAGGGCTGAGAGGGCCGTGAGGGCTGAGAGGGCTGTGAGGGCTGAGAGGGCCGTGAGGGCTGAGAGGGCTGTGAGAGCTGTGAGGGCTGAGAGGGCTGTGAGGGCTGAGAGGGCTGAGAGAGCCGTGAGGGCTGAGAGGGGCGTGAGGGCCGTGAGGGCTGAGAGGGCTGTGAGGGCTGAGAGAGCTGTGAGGGCTGAGAGAGCTGTGAGGGCTGTGAGGGCCGTGAGGGCTGAGAGGGCTGTGAGGGCTGAGAGGGCCGTGAGGGCTGAGAGGGCCGTAAGGGCTGTGAGGGCCGTGAGGGCTGAGAGAGCTGTGAGGGCCGTGAGGGCTGAGAGGGCCGTAAGGGCTGAGAGAGCTGAGAGGGCTGAGAGGGCTGTGAGGGCTGTGAGGGCAGGAACCACAACACAGCCTCCCAGGAAGACCAACATCGCCCTCAACACACCTAAACATTCCTCAACTTCCTAAACCAACACAGCAAACCGGTTGATGTCAGAGAGTTTCTCACGGGCGCGGCTCTTGTGGGCGTGGGCGTGGCGGGGCGTGGGCGTGGGCATGGCCGGCCAGGGCACCGCATCCGGGCACTGTGGCCGGTGCCCTCACGTGCCCGAGGGGGGGAGGGGGCCGGAGTGACACCAGACAACCTCACCGGAATGGCTCTTGGATTTTAATGTCGAAGGTTTTACCCGTTGGTGCATCCGGAGGGGACCTCCCAAGTCATCTGGACAGGGACAACCATGTTAATTCGGACAAGGATACCCATGTTATCCGGACAAGGACACCCATGTTATCCGGACAAGGACACCCAAGTCATCTGGACAGGGACAACCATGTTAATTCGGACAAGGATACCCATGTTATCCGGACAAGGATACCCATGTTATCCGGACAAGGACACCCAAGTCATCTGGACAGGGACAACCATGTTAATTCGGACAAGGATACCCATGTTATCCGGACAAGGACACCCATGTTATCCGGACAAGGACACCCATGTTATCCGGACAGGGACACCATGGAGGGGCCGGTAACCCGTACAGGCCGGATAAGCCGGATATCCCTGAGGTGTGTTCACCTCAACTCTCAATGTTCTCCGCGGTCAGTCACATCTGCACACACCTGCCTGCCTTAAGACTGGCGCTGCACACACCTGCCTCAACACCAGCACAAGAGAAAGGCAGATGTGTCACATTAAACAGATGGTCCACAGTTGGGCTGGTGTTGGTTCCGCCCGGGTGCTCTGAGGCTCTCCCTTCACCCGCCATGATCACAGCTTACTGGGGGAAGCTTAACTTCCAGCTCGACATCATTCAGCTTGATATACCCCAATTTAACACCACCCAACGTGACATCAACCATCTCGACATCATTCAGCTTGATATACCCCAATTTAACACCACCCAACGTGACATCAACCAGCTTGACATCAACCAGTCTAACATCACCCAGCTTGACATCAACCAGTCTAACATCACCCAGCTTGACATCAACCAGCTTAATATCACCCAGCTTGATTTTCAGCATAACGTCCTCTGACATTTAGGATCCACTAATTCAACTACAATATTGGTGGTGAGCCGGAGGAGAGGCCGGGGAAGCTGGCTTGTGAGGGGGAAGGGGGGTGTTGATGCTGCAATGGGGGGTAGGGGAAGGTGGCAGGAAGTGTAGAGGTGTTTTACAAAGACGACTGCTGACTCCTGTTAGCTGGCTGAGAGCTTTCCCTTCCCATAGCTCGTGGTAAGCCATATTGACGTTGACTATGTACCAAGCTCAGTAGGTTAGATGAGATGCTTGTGTTTGTACATTTCTGGTTAGACAGAAACAGTTGCATTCTTACGGAGTGGAAAACGGAGAGAATGGTGTGGTTAAACACCTACTGTGTTCAGAGTCAGTGGTTCGAGAAACCTTATAATGAGGCAGTAATTACGTGGTAGAAGCACTGAGTGCGAGCAGCGGGGTCTAACAGCCTGGTTGACCAGACTGGCCGCGGCAGTTTTGATCCTGGGAGTGACTCTAAGGTGTTAACAGCTTCCCTGATTGCTCCACTTAAGTGTAAGTGTCCCACTAGTGTAAGTGGGGGCGGCCAGGGGTCCCCTGGAGTAGGTGGGTGGGGCAGAAGCACTTGATTTAAGTACAAGTGTCTTACAAGTATAAGTAGGGGATGGCCAGACGCCCCTTAGAGTAGATAGGAGGGTCAGCACCACTTGACAAAGTGTAAGTGTCCCACTAGTGTAAGTGGGGGCGGCCGGGGGGGGGGGGGGGAGGGTCACCTAATACACATGTAATCGTATTTAGAGCGGTGGTGACCGAGCCCTTCCATCCCGCTGGCCACACCATCAACCACAGAGAAATCAGAAGAGTTCGAACCCCGGCGGGTACCTGGGGGCAGGGAGGGGGAGGGGAAGGGGGGGTTCACAACCCCTTCCGGCCCCCCCCCCTCCCCCCCACCCTGGAAATATTCCCCATAATACATTTAATACATAAATATTACACGATTTGATCTTATGAATATTTTTTGGGGGTTAAGAAGTCAATGTATTCCTCTTGACCGCTGCTCCAGGCGTCACCTGGAGGCGCTCGCCACCGGTAATGTTAACGACTTGATCCTACCCGGCACATGTTTTGTATTAGTTGTATTGTATGAATGTATTAAATTTTTGTAACGATTTGTAATCGTTTTGTTCGTGATATTTCTTTGAAGTTAATGATGGCGGGGATGGTATAGAGTCCCGGGTCTGGAGTCCAGGCGGCCAGGCGCCGCTGTGTGGCGGCCTCAGCACCCACAGCCAGCAGCTGACCGCAGCTTCCGTCAAGGCGGACAAGGGCCGCCAGGGAGCGCCTCGCTACTGACGGAACTTGACCCTTAACCCGCGTGTCCTTAAGGGCGGACCGGATGTGGGGCGGCCCTGGAGGCCCAGCTTGACCATCAGTCTTACATAAAGACTGAACACGGCTTAAGACTAACTTATGGCTGACCTCAGAGCTCCCGGCGCCACCTCCCCCCCCCCCCACACGGGTCCTCGCGGCCGAGTGGACTCCGTTCCGTGTTCGCACTCCAGAGACCCGGGTTCCATTCCTGCCGGTACGGAGCCAAGAGGAGTTTCTTTCTCCTGAGACCTCTCTTCACCCAGGGGTAAATAGGTACCTGGGAGTTAGCCTCCTGTAGTGGGTTGTATCCCCACTACATCCCAACACATACATCGGGATGTACTCACCTAGTTGTGCTTGTGGGGGTTGAGCTCTGGCTCTTTGGTCCCGCCTCTCAACTGTCAATCAACAGGTGTACAGGTTCCTGAGCCTATTGGGCTTTATCATATCTACACTTCAGTGTGTGTGGGAGGGGGGGGGAGGGGAGTATACACAGTAGATATGATAGAGAAATATGTCTTGAGTTAATATACTAGACAGTCGATGGTTAGAAAGGCGGGGCCCAAGAGCTAAAAGCCCGATCCATCAGGGACGTTTAGCAAATAAACACACGCACGCCGGGGCACCCCACGCTGCACGCAATATTAAACGCCGTGCTATACCTGCCCCTATCCCACCCATCCAACATATGTGGGCGGGGAGGGTGGGAGTGGGCGGGGAGGGTGTGGGTGGGTAAGGTGTGGGCGGGGTGGGTGTGGGTGGGTAAGGTGTGGGCGGGGAGGGTGTGGCAGGGTAAGGGGGTGGGCGGGGAGGGTGTGGCAGGGTAAGGGGGTGGGCGGGGAGGGTGTGGGTGGGTGAGGGGTGGGAGTGGGTGGAGGCGCTGAGAGCTGGACAATGGTCCGTCATCACGTGGACAAACACATAAACGGCCTCAGGGAACCTTACTGACCACAAATCCCAGAAAACTTTGACCATTTGTGTAGCCCGGCGTCCCTGGTGCCAGCTGCTGGCGTCTGGCGTCCCTGGTGCCAGCTGCTGGAGTCTGGCGTCCCTGGTGCCAGCTGCTGGCGTCCCTGGTGCCAGCTGCTGGCGTCCCTGGTGCCAGCTGATGGCGTCTAGCGTCCCTGGTGCCAGCTGCTGGAGTCTGGCGTCCCTGGTGCCAGCTGCTGGCGTCTGGCGTCCCTGGTGCCAGCTGCTGGAGTCTGGCGTCCCTGGTGCCAGCTGCTGGCGTCTGGCGTCCCTGGTGCCAGCTGCTGGCGTCTGGCGTCCCTGGTGCCAGCTGCTGGCGTCCCTGGTGCCAGCTGCTGGCGTCCCTGGTGCCAGCTGCTGGAGTCTGGCGTCCCTGGTGCCAGCTGCTGGCGTCTGGCGTCCCTGGTGCCAGCTGCTGGCGTCCCTGGTGCCAGCTGCTGGAGTCTGGCGTCCCTGGTGCCAGCTGCTGGCGTCCCTGGTGCCAGCTGCTGGAGTCTGGCGTCCCTGGTGCCAGCTGCTGGCGTCTGGCGTCCCTGGTGCCAGCTGCTGGCGTCCCTGGTGCCAGCTGCTGGCGTCCCTGGTGCCAGCTGCTGGCGTCTGGCGTCCCTGGTGCCAGCTGCTGGAGTCTGGCGTCCCTGGTGCCAGCTGCTGGCGTCTGGCGTCCCTGGTGCCAGCTGCTGGAGTCTGGCGTCCCTGGTGCCAGCTGCTGGAGTCTGGCGTCCCTGGTGCCAGCTGCTGGCGTCCCTGGTGCCAGCTGCTGGAGTCTGGCGTCCCTGGTGCCAGCTGCTGGCGTCCCTGGTGCCAGCTGCTGGCCAGTCTGGCGTCCCTGGTGCCAGCTGCTGGCGTCCCTGGTGCCAGCTGCTGGCGTCCCTGGTGCCAGCTGCTGGCGTCTGGCGTCCCTGGTGCCTGCTGCTGGCGTCCCTGGTGCCAGCTGCTGGAGTCTGGCGTCCCTGGTGCCAGCTGCTGGCGTCTGGCGTCCCTGGTGCCAGCTGCTGGAGTCTGGCGTCCCTGGTGCCAGCTGCTGGCGTCTGGCGTCCCTGGTGCCAGCTGCTGGCGTCCCTGGTGCCAGCTGCTGGCGGCTGGCGTCCCTGGTGCCAGCTGCTGGCGTCTGGCGTCCCTGGTGCCAGCTGCTGTCGTCCCTGGTGCCAGCTGCTGGGGTCTGGCGTCCCTGGTGCCAGCTGCTGGCGTCCCTGGTGCCAGCTGCTGGAGTCTGGCGTCCCTGGTGCCAGCTGCTGGCGTCTGGCGTCCCTGGTGCCAGCTGCTGGCGTCTGGCGTCCCTGGTGCCAGCTGCTGGCGTCTGGCGTCCCTGGTGCCAGCTGCTGGAGTCTGGCGTCCCTGGTGCCAGCTGCTGTCGTCCCTGGTGCCAGCTGCTGGCGTCCCTGGTGCCAGCTGCTGGCGTCCCTGGTGCCAGCTGCTGGCGTCTGGCGTCCCTGGTGCCAGCTGCTGGAGTCTGGCGTCCCTGGTGCCAGCTGCTGGCGTCTGGCGTCCCTGGTGCCAGCTGCTGGAGTCTGGCGTCCCTGGTGCCAGCTGCTGGCGTCTGGCGTCCCTGGTGCCAGCTGCTGGCGTCCCTGGTGCCAGCTGCTGGAGTCTGGCGTCCCTGGTGCCAGCTGCTGGCGTCCCTGGTGCCAGCTGCTGGCGTCTGGCGTCCCTGGTGCCAGCTGCTGGCGTCCCTGGTGCCAGCTGCTGGCGTCCCTGGTGGCAGCTGCTGGAGTCCCTGGTGCCAGCTGCTGGCGTCCCTGGTGCCAGCTGCTGGAGTCCCTGGTGCCAGCTGCTGGCGTCTGGCGTCCCTGGTGCCAGCTGCTGGCGTCTGGCGTCCCTGGTGCCAGCTGCTGGCGTCTGGCGTCCCTGGTGCCAGCTGCTGGAGTCTGGCGTCCCTGGTGCCAGCTGCTGGCGTCTGGCGTCCCTGGTGCCAGCTGCTGGCGTCTGGCGTCCCTGGTGCCAGCTGCTGGCGTCCCTGGTGCCAGCTGCTGGAGTCTGGCGTCCCTGGTGCCAGCTGCTGGCGTCCCTGGTGCCAGCTGCTGGAGTCTGGCGTCCCTGGTGCCAGCTGCTGGCGTCTGGCGTCCCTGGTGCCAGCTGCTGGAGTCTGGCGTCCCTGGTGCCAGCTGCTGGCGTCTGGCGTCCCTGGTGCCAGCTGCTGGCGTCTGGCGTAGCGTTGGGGCGGACATGTGTGGTGTGGGAGGTGTGGGGGTGGTGTCCCCCCCCCCCCCCCACGGGCTGGACAACGGCCGCTCCGTGACCAAAAGACTCAAAATGTGGCCAAAGGTCATAATAGTGGAGGTCAGTTTATGTGGGAACCTCCCATATATACACCCCCTCTACACCCCCTCTACACCCCCTCTACACCCCCTCTACACCCCCCTACACCCCCCTACACCCACCCCTCTCTTGTGTCTCACACACACCCCACACCCCCACCACCCCCCCCCTCTCTCACACATTCTCTACCAACTGCCTTTTTTCTGGTGGTTCACAATGCAACCAACGGTTCCTGCTCTTAAAGAATGTGTCCTGCCGTCTTGGTCGAGCGAGGCTCCAACCCGCGGCTAAAACCCGCCGGAAAAAATGCTCAACAGGACAATAACACGAAGCAGGACAAGTAACACATGTGAGGAAGTTGTGTTGATGGTGAGTGTTGATGGTGAGTGTTGATGGTGAGTGTTGATGGTGAGTGTAGATGGTGAGTGTTGATGGTGAGTGTTGATGGTGAGTGTAGATGGTGAGTGTTGCTGGTGAGTGTTGATGGTGAGTGTTGATGGTGAGTGTTGATGGTGAGTGTTGATGGTGAGTGTTGATGGTGAGTGTTGATGGTGAGTGTTGATGGTGAGTGTTGATGGTGAGTGTTGATGGTGAGTGTTGATGGTGAGTGTTGATGGTGAGTGTAGATGGTGAGTGTTGATGGTGAGTGTTGATGGTGAGTGTAGATGGTGAGTGTTGATGGTGAGTGTTGATGGTGAGTGTTGATGGTGAGTGTTGATGGTGAGTGTTGATGGTGAGTGTTGCAGAGTGTTGCTCTGGTGTTGACACCTTGTAACGCCGGCTATAATTACTGTACCATTGTTACACCTAATGAGTCCGTGGGTGTGTACTGGACAGTGGGCGTGGGTGTGTACTGGGCAGTGGGCGTGGGTGTGTACTGGGCAGTGGGCGTGGGTGTGTACTGGACAGTGGGCGTGGGTGTGTACTGGGCAGTGGGCGTGGGTGTGTACTGGGCAGTGGGCGTGGGTGTGTACTGGGCAGTGGGCGTGGGTGTGTACTGGACAGTGGGCGTGGGTGTGTACTGGACAGTGGGCGTGGGTGTGTACTGGACAGTGGGCGTGGGTGTGTACTGGACAGTGGGCGTGGGTGTGTACTGGACAGTGGGCGTGGGTGTGTACTGGGCAGTGGGCGTGGGTGTGTACTGGACAGTGGGCGTGGGTGTGTACTGGACAGTGGGCGTGGGTGTGTACTGGGCAGTGGGCGTGGGTGTGTACTGGACAGTGGGCGTGGGTGTGTACTGGGCAGTGGGCGTGGGTGTGTACTGGACAGTGGGCGTGGGTGTGTACTGGACAGTGGGCGTGGGTGTGTACTGGGCAGTGGGCGTGGGTGTGTACTGGACAGTGGGCGTGGGTGTGTACTCACCTAGTTGTGCTTGCGGGGGTTGAGCTCTGCTCTTTCGGCCCGCCTCTCAACTGTCAATCAATCAACTGTTACTAACTACTATTTTTTTTCACCTCCACCCCCAGGAAGCAGCCCGTGACAGCTGACTAACTTCCAGGTACCTATTTACTGCTAGGTAACAGGGACATCAGGGTGAAAGAAACTCTGCCCATTTTGTTTCTACCAGCCCCGGGAATCTAACCCCGGTCCACATGACTACGTATCAAGCGTGCTGTCCACTTAGCTACCGGCCCCCTGTGTACTGGGCAGTGGGTGTGTAGTGAGCAGCCACACAGTAGCGACTGTGCAGATGTGTCCAGTAGTTGACCCCCTCCCACATCTACCCTTTGACCCCCCCCCCCCCCCCCCCCCCGCTGACCCAGACAGCTGTTTTAGAGTGCGGAGCGTCTTAGCCTCGACCCCAAACCCGCCAAAATTAAAACCGACCCATAAATGATTCCTGACCATTTCCACTCTCCGAAACTGAAATGAAAATAGCAAGAGGGCCGCGACCCCTCTATTGAGCAGCCTCTTGATGGGGGTCGCAATGGATTTTGACTTTTGACTTTTGAAATTTGCCTCCCATGACGGTCAGCGGGCGGGCAGTGGGCAGCGGGGCGCCCCACGCAGATGGTCAGTGTCACATATCTCATCTGCCACATACCCTGAAGGGGTATGTTGACCACATTATAATGGTGGCCAGCCGCTCGAGTAGTGGGGGGGGGGGGACTACTCTAGGCCGGATTGTTTCGCTTCTCTCTGAAGGTTGTGTGTACTCACCTAGTTGTGTTTGCGGGGATTGAGCTCTGGCTCTTTGGTCCCGCCTCTCAACCGTCAATCAACAGGTGTACAGATTCCTGAGCCTATTGGGCTCTATCATATCTACATTATAAACTGTGTATGGAGTCAGCCTCCACCATATCACTTCCTAATGCATTCCATTTGTCAACCACTCTTGACACTAAAAAAGTTCTTTCTAATATTTCTGTGGCTCATTTGGGCACTCAGTTTCCACCTCTGTATGTGTGTGTGTGTGTGTGTGTGTGTGTGTGTGTGTGTGTGTGTGTGTGTGTGTGTGTACTCACCTAGTTGTGTCTGCAGGATCGAGCATTGACTCTTGGATCCCGCATTTCGAGCATCGGTTGTTTACAGCAATGACTCCTGTCCCATTTCCCTGTCATACCTGGTTTTAAAATTATGAATAGTATTTGCTTCCACAACCTGTTCCTGAAGTGCATTCCATTTCCCCACTACTCTCACGCTAAAAGAAAACTTCCTAACATCTCTGTGACTCATCTGAGTTTCCAGCTTCCATCCATGTCCCCTCGTTCTGTTACTATTCCGTGTGAACATTTCGTCTATGTCCACTCTGTCAATCCTTCTGAGTATCTTATACGTTCCTATCATGTCCCCCCTCTCCCTTCTTCTTTCTAGTGTCGTAAGGCACAGTTCCCTCAGGCGCTCCTCATACCCCATCCCTCGTAGCTCTGGGACGAGTCTCGTTGCAAACCTCTGAACCTTTTCCAGTTTCATTATATGCTTCTTCAGATGGGGACTCCATGATGAGGCGGCATACTCTAAGACTGGCCTTACGTAGGCAGTGTAAAGCGCCCTAAATGCCTCCTTACTTAGGTTTCTGAATGATGTTCTAACTTTTGCCAGTGTAGAGTACACTGCTGTCGTTATCCTATTAATATGTGCCTCAGGAGATAGATTAGGTGTTACGTCCACCCCCAGGTCTCTTTCTTCGTCGTTACAGGTAGGCTGTTCCCCTTCATTGTGTACTGTCCCTGTGGTCTCCTATCTCCTAGTCCCATTTCCATAACTTTACATTTGCTCGTGTTGAATTCTAGTAGCCATTTCTCTGACCATCTCTGCAATCTGTTCAGGTCCTCTTGGAGGATCCTGCAATCCTCATCTGTCACAACTCTTCTCATCAACTTTGCATCATCCGCAAACATCGACATGTAGGACTCTACGCCTGTAAACATGTCGTTAACATATACAAGAAATAGAATTGGTCCCAGCACCGATCCTTGTGGTACTCCACTTGTTACTGTTCGCCAGTCCGACTTCTCGCCCCTTACCGTAACTCTTTGGCTCCTTCCTGTTAGGTAGTTCCTTATCCATGCTAGGACCTTTCCCCCCACCCCCGCCTGCCTCTCGAGCTTGAACAGCAGTCTCATGTGCGGTACTGTATCAAAGGCTTTTTGGCAGTCCAGAAATATGCAGTCTGCCCAACCATCGTCTGTGTGTGTGTGTGTGTGTGTGTGTGTGTGTGTGTGTGTGTGTGTGTGTGTGAGTGTGTGTGTGTGTGTGTGTGTGTGTGTGTGTGTGTGTGTGTGTGTGTGTGTGTGTGTGTACTCACCTAGTATTTTTTTATTTTTTGTGTCTTCAGGATCGAGCATTGACTCTTGGATCCCGCCTTTCGAGCATCGGTCGTTTACAGCAATGACTCCTGTCCCATTTCCCTGTCATACCTGGTTTTAAAATTATGAATAGTATTTGCTTCCACAACCTGTTCCTGAAGTGCATTACATTTTCCCACTAATCTCACGCTAAAAGAAAACTTCCTAACATCTCTGTGACTCATCTGAGTTTCCAGCTTCCATCCATGTCCCCTCGTTCTGTTACTATTCCGTGTGAACATTTCGTCTATATCCACTCTGTCAATCCCTCTGAGTATCTTATACGTTCCTATCATGTCCCCCCCTCACACACACACACTTGTGTGTGTGTGTGTGTGTGTGTGTGTGTGTGTGTGTGTGTGTGTATTTACCACTTGTATTTGCTATTTGTTCCTGCAGAATCAAGCTATCAGCTCTTGGACCCCACCTTTCTAGCCAATCTAGAATAGTGTGGAGGAAGAGCTTGGACACGAGGGAGATACCAGATGCACTTAAAGCAGCAGACAGAGCCCCCTCTACACAAGGGTGGTAGCAAAGCATTGCCAAAGAATTATAGACCAGTTGCACTAACGTCCCACATAATAAAAGTATTTAAGAGAGTGATCAGGAGTCAGGTCACTAGTTTCATGGAGACCAATCACCTCCACAATCCAGGCCAACATGGATTTAGAGCAGGAAGATCATGCCTCTCACAGTTATTTGACCATTACGCCAAAATCACTGAGGCATTAGAAGAAAAACAGAATACAGATATGGTATACACGAATTTCGCAAAGGCATTCGATAAATGTGACCATGGCGTGATAGCGCACAAAATGAAGTCAATGGAAATAACCGGTAAAGTAGGACGCTGGATACTCAGTTTTCTGTCAAACAGGACTCAGTGAGTAACAGTCAACCATATAGAATCGAGTCCAAGCGCAGTTAAAAAGCTCAGTACCTCAAGGTACAGTCCTGGCACCGCTGCTGTTCCTTATTCTCATATCAGGTATAGACAAAAATACAAGTCACAGCTTTGTATCATCCTTTGCAGATGACACAAAAATCAGTATGAAAATTACCTCGGCTGTAGACATTGAAAAAACTTCAAGCTGATATTAATAAAGTTTTCGATTGGGCAGCAGAAAATAACATGATGTTTAACAGTGATAAATTCCAGGTACGGCAAAAATGAGAACCTTAAGCATAATACAGGGTACAAAACACAATCAAATCTGCCCATAGTAGGAAAACAGCATGTCAAGGATTTGGGAATAATGATGTCCGACGACCTAACGTTTAGGGAGCATAACCAAGCAAATATTGCGACAGCCAGAAAAATGATGGGATGGATTACGAGAACTTACAAATCCAGGGATTCCATCACAATGGTTGTACTCTTCAAGTCACTTGTGTTGTCCCGTCTTGAGTACTGCTCAGTACTCACTTCCCCCTTCAGAACAGGAGAGGTTGCTGAAATAGAGGGAATACAGAGAACATATACGGCACGCATAGACGAGATAAAACACCTAAATTATTGGGATCGTCTCAAAGCTCTCCAAATGTACTCACTAGAAAGGAGACGAGAGAGATACCAAATAATATACACATGGAAAATACTGGAGGGCCAGGTCCCAAATCTACACAGTAAAATAACAACGTACTGGAGTGAACGATATGGAAGAAAATGCAGAAAAGAACCAGTGAAGAGCAGAGGTGCCATAGGCACAATCAGAGAACACTGTATAAACATCCTAGCAGGCTGTGTTTTACTGCCTTAACGACCGGTTGCAATTCGATGATTGTATTGTGGTGGCTGATGATAATGTCATAATATATAGTGACTAAGTATACATTGGTGGTTCTCGTTCTCCTTCGCCAGGTAGATTACTTAACTGCCTGAAGCTTGTTTGTGCTTGTATCGTCTGGTTCTTGTTCTTCCGATGTTCATCGTGTCTTGAGAGGTTGTTCTTGTGAGGTTGGTCCTTGTTAACCACTTGTTGTGGATAACAAGTAGATAACAAGCGGTTGTTCTGTGTCAAGAACATTTATAATCTCTTCTGTTCTGTTGTTCCACTGTGAGTCTGTGTCAGTGGCTGTGTAGTGCTGTTATCTTGAGGCTGTATGGTGGTTGTGTGGTGTGTATGGTGGTTGTGTGGTGTGTATGGTGGTTGTGAGGTGTGTATGGTGGTTGTGTGGTGTGTATGGTGGTTGTGAGGTGTGTATGGTGGTTGTGAGGTGTGTATGGTGGTTGTGTATGGTGGTTGTGTGGTGTGTATGGTGGTTGTGTGGTGTGTATGGTGGTTGTGTGGTGTGTGTGGTAGTGTGTGGTGTGTGGTGGTTGTGTGTGGTGGTGGTTGTGTGTGGTGGTGGTGGTTGTGTGGTGTGTGGTGGTGGTTGTGTGGTGTGTTGGTGGTTGTGTGGTGTGGTGGTGGTGGTTGTGTGGTGTGTGTGGTGGTTGTGGTGGTGTGTGGTGGTTGTGTGGTGTGTGTGGTGGTTGTGTGGTGTGTTGGTGGTGTGTGGTGTGTGGTGGTGTGTGGTGTGGTGGTTGTGTGTGGTGTGGTGGTTGTGTGGTGGTGGTGGTGTTGTGTGGTGGTGTGTGGTGGTTGTGTGGTGTGTATGGTGGTTGTGTGGTGTGGTGGTTGTGTGGTTGTGTGGTGGTTGTGTGGTGTGTGTGGTGGTTGTGTGTGGTGGTGGTGGTTGTGTGGTGTGTGGTGGTGGTTGTGTGGTGTGTGGTGGTGGTTGTGTGGTGTGTGGTGGTGGTTGTGTGGTGTGTGGTGGTGGTTGTGTGGTGTGTGTGTGTGGTGTGTGTGTGTGGTGGTTGTGT